TTTTTTTTTTTTTGGTTGTAAGTAAAGTATTTGCCTCATAAATTAACTAAGAAAATAGATTTTCTTTTCATCGTAAATAAAGTTTCTACCTATGTAGTAGATAAGGGATTTACTTAGATCACAAATTGTTTTGTTTGATCGTAAATAAAGTATTTACCTAGTAAATCCAATATTTATATAACAAATCCATTATTAATCATTATATTGACTAATAAATTATTTACCTAATAAATTCAAATTAACATTAAATCCTTAGTTTAATAGAATAAATCCAATATTTACCATTGGTATTTTCTTGTTTTATTTGATAAGTCTCAACGCTTGAAAACTTGATTTATTTTCTCTTTTATATTTTGAACTTTATAAGATGTGTTGCTGTATTTACACAATTTTTTTTCCCTAATTAGTTCTGATGGTGTGAAGAAGAAGGCTTTTTTGGAAACGTAAAGAGAAGGGAGAAAAAAAAAAAACTTTGGATACACTTTAACAAATATGCCAACCTCAATTGTTCTTCATTGTTCACTTCTTGTTTACTCTGTAAATTGATTATTGGGAGAATCACACTAACACCTGACCCTGTGTTTTACCTAAATTAAGGAGAGACCCTCTTGACTAAACATTTCACGTCAACATCCCCTCACATTAAAAGTATGTTTGGTAGTGATTCTTGGATCTCAAAATCAATTCTTTAGTAATCCACAGCTGAAATTTGTGTTTGATAAAAATCATAAAAAGTGATTCTGAAAGAATTTTTAAAGAATTTATAGAAAGTTAGAAACAGTCTAAAGACAATTTTAGCTTTTAGATTGTGCAGCAATCACCTTGAAGTACAATTAATGAAACTTTCATAATACCCATAATACCCCTAGAATCAATATTATATAATTACAGTTTACCAAACACGTAACTACTCTTGATAACATCTGTTTCTTTTTCAGCACAACTAACAATAATTTTTTTTAAAATCTACAGTATAACTAACCCTAACTCTGTTAACTAAACGGGAAGGAAAATATAGGTGTGAGTCAAGGAAGAAGATCAAATTTGTGGGAGGTTTTTTTTTCTTTTTTTTTTTCCTTCTGACGTTTGCAATGTGAATTTGAGCGATGTTGTTTTCTTTGGTTTTTTTTTTTTTTTTTTTTTTTTTTTTTGTGGTGGTTTATAATTTGGCTTTTTTTGCTTGATAAGTAAAGGCAACTCGCATAATTATACATGAACTATCTATGCACATACTATCAACAAAATATCAATTTATGTGCACGTACGCAAGACACGTGTTTAGATAATCTATTTTCGGTTTTAGTAGACAATTTGTTCCTAAACTGGAAAACCTCACAAGGTTTAATTGTCAATTTGAAAAGAAGGGAGGAAAAACACAGGCCTCCTTTGGTAACGTTTTCGAATATTCAACCTGAAAGTAACATTTTCAAAAATGCTACTAATTTTTCCTAACGTTCCCAAAAATGCTACTTGTCCATGCTACAAAGTTTTCCTGCTTCCGTAGTACATGGGTTGAGTTAGTGCGAGGTAAAGTTTTTTCTTATCCCACCTTAAAAGGTGCAGATTACACATATTTAATCTCAACGATGTTAGAAAAATTTCACAACCCAATGATGTTTGGGTTGGGTTGGGGCGGGACATGGTGGGTTGGGTGGTCGGGTTCATCATTCAAAGAATCAAAGTTCAATCCAACATTCAAAGTTCATCATCAAATAGAAATAAGAACTCCAACATTAAAAGTTCATCATCGAATAATACTGATCATCAAATAAAAATAATACTAATAATCAAACATAACTTTAACATTCAAAGTTCATCATCAAATAAAAATAATACTGATTAGTCCCTCATCAAATAGATAGCAATTCAAAGTTCAATCTCACATCAAACATGAAGCAAAGTAGTCCATCCAACATCAAACATAAAGCAAACATAAATTAGAGGCTTAATTCAAATTCATCTAAAGTAAGCACTGCAACAACAACCATCATTATCAGTCCACACTCATAGGCTCCTTATCAGGCATGTTTGTGTGGGTTGAGTTGGGGTGTGTTGGTTATTATAAGCCCAACTAACAAACCGTCCCAAACACCTCGGGCTCGATATTTAATGAGCCGAAAAATAAAAAATAATGCTATAAGTTGCCTTTTTCGGGTTGGGTTGGGGTGAGCTAAGTTGGGTTTACAGGTTGTTCGGGTTTATGTATAGTCCTATTCCCTAGTTTCCAACCATACATTATTGTACGTGTAGAAGAAAGCTCTCGAAACTTTACAAGCAACGATTACCAATAGTATACTAATAGTAGCAATCCATACCACCAGTTTAATTGTCTCCAAACTTGGTAATTTCTCATCGTTGTGTTAAATTTATCGTACAAAATGTATACCTAACAAAGTTATTAGACCATGCTAAATGCAAATACTAATATTAATAATTTATTTTTATTTGTGCTTCAATACAAAGTGGAACTTCAAATGCTAAATATATTTTTTGCCATAATCATTAAGATCCTAAAGTTGTAAACTTAAACTTTTGACTTAAAAAAATTGATTTAAATGTTGTAATGATGAAATGAAAAAGTAAACATATCAAAAAATAGTAATCAAACATCAAATTTGTTATATGATATATTTAGAAGAAAATTTATCACCGAGTATAGCATATGATAAATCTAGCTAAAAAAAACAACAATTTATCCCCATGGACCTCTTGGTATTACGTCCTTCAATTTGCACAAACAAGTGTCTTTCAAAACACAGTAAGAGTGACGACATAAGAATCACATATATGCATTAAACTCTTTGTGGACTTATTGGCCGATAAGTATGACTTTGAAGTTTTTCAATAAAAAGATTGTAAGTGAAGGATACGGCATTAGAACAGAGTCAAGTCTCCCCCAAACTGGTCAAGAAGAGTGAAGGCTACTTTATTACTTCGCCGGCCCCCATCTGTATTGGGAAGTTCCAGTGTAAGGTGCTTTTTCTTTTTTCTTTTTTTTTTTTTTTCCTTTTTCTTTTGTTGAAGACAAATTTGGGGTGGAAGATTTTTTTTTTTTTTTTTTAGATTATAAAAAGTCTAGGAAGTGGTGAACGACGTGTATAAAATGAGATCATGGTAGAAACTATAGGATGCAAAGTTGCCAAGAGACATGTAAAAAATAAAAATAAATGTTAAATTAATTTTTAAATGAATGGAAAATATCAAATATCGACTCTTTAGGCCCCTTTTGTAAAACACTTTTTTAGCTTTTGTTTTAATAAAAAAAGGTCAATTTTTTAGAAAAAAAAAAAGTTAGGTTTTTTTTTTTTTTCTGTCTTCTAATGGTTCTAAATTATCTATACATGGTCGAAACATTTTGTTTTTTAAAATTCTTTTACAAAGCTTTTTCCTCAACTAAGAATTTATTGTTTTCAAAATTGGGATCAAGATTGAGATGGGTTTTAGGTTGGGATTGGGATCAAGATCAGGATTCGAAGTTGAGACTAATTGTGATGTAGCATAATTGATAAGAACGGAATTTTACCGACTTAAACTGGACGGAATACGGGAAGTGAATTTCTAAATTTACGTAAAGAGATCCCATAAAAAGAAAATTCTCGATTGGGATCAAGATCAGGATTCGAAGTTGAGACTAATTGTGATGTAGCAGAATTGATAAGAACGGAATTTTACTGACTTAAACTGGACGGAATACGGGAAGTGAATTTCTAAATTTACGTAAAGAGATCCCATAAAAAGAAAATTCTTAAATTGGAGAGAGCACTCAACTTTTTATTCAATTCTTAAATATTCAAGTCTCCCTAATACAATTGATAATGTGGCTATTTATAGCTTACATACAAAACGATAATAAAATACTCACTAAGACAAATGATTAATTGAATGTCATTGTGCTCTTTAATTTTCTCTTTATTAATTGAATAACAATTATTTATTTTTTAGTATAATGACATAAATAATATTTTTTACCTCTTTAAGTGGTATTTATGACTTTTTATCTTATTATTATATTTAAAAGATGTACAACTCGGGTTAATTTTATCTTTTATTATAGTTTAACTACCAAAACTAATTTTAAAGAAAGGAAAGAAGTCCAGACCACTCACAGATTTTAGGCTATTTTGTATAATATCCTCTCAAATTTATATGATTTGGACAACTTACCACATGAACTTCTAATTTTGATAGTTTGACTCCTCAACTTGAAAAACTGTTATAATGTGCCCCATTAATAATGATTATATTATAATGGTGACGAAAAAACATGTTTAACAAAAAACTTCAAAGTTGCAATTCAGATTATAACACAAATATCTTAAGGTATATTTGTTTTATAACTTAAGTTAATGTGAGAGAAAAATACTGTAGTATAAAAGTTAAATTTAAATTTTTATAAAAGAAAATACTGTACCTATAGAAATGTTGTGACTTTAGTTATGAAAAGAACAAGGCTTTAATTCTCCATCTCTCAATCTCTTAAATATGATGAAAAAAAGTAACAAAATTGAAAAGTTGGGACATATTGCCAAATACCCTAGATTTTAGGAGGGCAAATTGCTAAAACTAGAATTGAGGACAAGTTGGAAAAACACTGTAAATTCAGGGACAAATATGCAAAAGGACCGTAGATTTTATTCCCTAATTGAAAAGGGGGTTCCATTTTCCAAGTCAATTCCATTTGTTCTTTACTGATGGAGTCGTTTCCATGTACGCGTGTTTGAACAAATGGCAGCTTTCCACGAGAAAAAGAGAGCCTCCCAATCTGTTTAAAGTCTTTTGGTCTTTTCTCTTTTGCAGTAAAATACTAACACTTTATACACCACACCAACTAGTCCAGTCAACTCCACTTCCAACATCACACGGCACTGCCATTTCCCATAATAACACCATTCTCTCTCTCTCTCTCTCTCTCTCTCTACTTCCCTTCAACTTCTTCGATACGTCTTTTACCAAAGAAAATGCCTTCTTCAATGCGTCATTGAATGCATTTTTTTTTGTTCTGAATCTCTTCACGTTCTTCCAAAACTCCTTGTGTTCTCTTGTCTTTCCAAAAACAAAAAGTTATTTATATTTCGTATCTCCAAAAAAAGTGCAGGGACATTCTTCCGCAAACAGCTTTAAAAAATGGCTAGTTTCGGGAACAAAGGTTCTTTTCTCTACTCTTTGTTTTGCCTCTTCTTTTCCTGTCCTTTTGCTCTCTCTCAACTTTCATCAACCCAGAAATCCACCATGATCACTCTCTATGAAAAAATCAATGATAGCAGTATTCAATGGAATATTACTAAAGAGCCATGTTCATGGAAGGGAGTTAAATGCAACCCCAGCAATTCTTCTGTACTTGGAATTTCTCTATCTGGGTTTTCTCTCTCTTCCTCAGATTTTTTGCCTGTCGTCTGTGAGATTAAGTCTTTGCAGGAATTTGATGTGTCCAACAACCGTTTGAACAAAATCCCAGATGAGTTCATGGAAGGTTGTGGAGAAATTGGAGGGCTGAAACTGCTCAACTTTAGCAGGAACAGGTTGGGTGGTTCGTTGCCTAAATTTGTTGGTTTTGTTCGATTGAAGTTCTTGGACTTATCTTATAATGAGTTGAGTGGAGATATTCATTTAGAGTTAGAGGGATTGGTTGGTCTTAAAAGCTTGAATCTAAGTTCTAACTTGTTCAGTGGGTCTATTCCTACTCAACTTGGAAAGTCCAAGGTTTTGAAAGAGCTTGCACTTTCAGCAAATATTTTTCAAGGAGCAATACCTGAAGAAATTATGGAATACCAGAATTTGACCCTGATTGATCTTAGCCAAAATAAACTTTCAGGGGTTATTCCTGACAGAATTAGGGAGCTCTCCAAGTTGGAGGTTTTGGTTCTTTCTCAAAATTATCTAAATGGAGAGATCCCAGAAAGTCTGTTAACTATCACATGTCTCTCACGATTTGCAGCGAATCAGAATGGCTTTCACGGTGCAATTCCACGTGGGATTACAAAATTTCTGAAGAACTTGGACCTAAGTTATAACAAATTAAATGGTTCAATTCCTTCAGACCTTTTGTCACCATCTAGTTTGCAGACTGTGGACTTGTCATTTAATTTGTTAGAAGGATCCATTCCGGCAAATATTACTCCTAACTTGGTCAGGTTGCGATTGGGAAGCAATTCACTTGATGGGTTCCCTTCAGCAAATTTTGCAACACTGAAGCAACTGACATATTTGGAACTGAACAACAATAAATTGAATGGATCGATTCCTCCTGAATTCGGTTCTTTCCCGAAGTTGGCGCTGTTGGATTTGGCTCAGAACCGACTTGCAGGTGCTTTGCCGCCAGAGTTGGGTAATCTTACCGACCTTCAAGTCTTAAAGCTTGAATTCAACAACCTTTCTGGTGAAATCCCGAGTCAAATCACACAACTACAGAAGTTGTCAATCCTGAATATCAGCTCAAATTCTCTGAGTGGTCAGATACCATCTTCTATTTCAAGCTTGCAAAACCTTGGAAATCTCAACTTACGAGACAACAAGCTTAACGGTTCCATACCAAACACCATTGGTAGCATGCAGAGCCTTTTGGAACTCCAACTTGGGAACAATCAACTAAGCGGTTACATTCCAAGGATGCCTCCTAGTTTGCAGATTGCTTTGAATCTCAGTCACAACCACTTTGAAGGACCCATTCCAAAGACTCTTGATGGATTACGTGCACTAGAAGTTTTGGACCTCTCGAATAACAATTTCTTGGGTGAGATACCAGCATTTCTTACACAAATGCAGTCATTGACATGGTTGTCACTCTCAAACAATCACCTCTCCGGAGTTATTCCAGAGTTTAGTTCTTGGGTCACCCTTGAAACAAGTGGCAACAAGGATTTGATCAATGCTACAAAGCTGAAGCCTTCGTCTAAATCAGAAAAGGGAAACTCGGTGGCTGTAATAGTTATGGCAGTTACAGTTTCTATTGTTGTTTCTGGAGTGGTTGTAATTCTTGTTATGTTTCTCTCACGGCGTTATAGCAGGGTCAATGATGAGCAATTACAACCGGTGGAAGATCTGCCCCTCCCTCAGATTCTCCAAGACAACTTACTAACCTCAAATGGGATTCACAGATCAAATATAGACTTCACCAAAGCCATGGAATCAGTTACCGACCCGTCAAACATTGTGCTGAAAACTAGGTTCTCAACTTACTACAAAGCAACTATGCCATCCGGATCAAGCTACTTTGTCAAGAAACTTAACTGGAGTGACAAGATATTCCAATTGGGCAGCCATGACAGATTTGGAGCAGAGCTTGAGGCCTTTGGAAAATTGAGCAACTCCAATGTCATGAATCCTCTAGCTTATGTTTTATCTGTTGACAATGCTTATCTGTTCTATGAATATTCCTCAAAGGGTACCCTCTTTGACATTCTTCATAGCAGCTCGGGAAGTGACATTGATTGGGCGAGTAGATACAGCATCGCAGTTGGAGTAGCTCAAGGCCTTTCATTTCTTCATGGAATCGCCTCCGGTCCAATACTCTTACTCGACTTGTCAAGCAAAAGCATCTTTCTGAAGTCCCTGAAGGAGCCGCAAGTGGGAGACATCGAGCTCTATAAGGTGATTGATCCATCCAAGAGCACTGGTAATCTTTCAACAGTCGCTGGTTCAGTTGGCTATATTCCTCCAGGTTAGCAACTGTGTGACTTTTCATTCACCTTTAATCAGCTGTCAATTGCATATTACTTAGCTCTATACTTTCAGCTAAACATGGTGCGATATTATTGTCATGTAGAACAGTTAAGGAAGAAGATAACAGAGAGAGAGAGGGAGAGAGAGAGAGAGAGAGAGAGAGAGAGAGAGAGAGAGAGTGGAGGAATTAGAGAAAAGGAGAGGAACAATAGAGAGGAAAATATGAATAGTCAATATCATCAATCAAGTCTAAAAAACAATGGAAATAGAGATTTCTAGTTATAGATAGGCAATTGGACACTAGAAGAATTGGGAATCCAGAAACAGTAAGGAAACTAAAATTCTAGTTACGCAAAATGAAATAAGACTTCATAAAATAACTAAAAGACTTCTATATAGTTTATATTTTTACGCCTAACATAATAACAGAAACTATTACTTTGATCTCCATCACATTTCATATGACTAAATTGCAAAATTTTGATTTCATGTTGCGGTTTGCAGAATATGCATACACAATGAGGGTAACAATGGCAGGGAATGTGTACAGCTTTGGGGTAATTCTGTTGGAGCTGCTGACAGGAAAACCGGCAGTTAGTGGGGGGACTGAGTTGGCTAAGTGGGTTTTGAGTAACTCGGTTCAACAAGATAAGTGGGATAACATGCTTGATTTTAGCATCAGCAGAACTTCACTCGCAGCCAGAAGCCAGATGCTTGCAGTTTTGAAGATTGCTCTTGGTTGTGTTAGCTTATCGCCCGAAGCAAGGCCAAAGATGAAGAGCGTTCTACGCATGCTTCTCAATGCAAGATGAAGCAGATACCGAGTGATTTTGGTTCTAAGAACAGCAGTTTCTGTCTGTAAAATATTGATGCGAGTTTTATTAGTTCCTACTAGAATACTGGTGGTGCAAAAGCATTTCTTGCCAGATAAGTTATATAGTATACTACACTAGTATCCTGCTTTTATAGCAAACAGAGAAAATTATATAATGTATTTACTAGCAAAAGAAGGTGAACCATTTTCTTGTTTACATAGCAGTTATGGATTTGTGGATTTGTGGTTTGCTTGCCTTCTTGAAGAGTATTTCTCTTATTTTTATTTTTAGCTTTTCAAGCAGTGAATCAAGAAGAATATGTTTGAGGTTTTCACGAGAATTCAGATTTAAAAAGTTCACAGCTGAATTATCCTCCTCACGAGCAGATCTGCGAGGGTCACCGTTGGCGACCCTCACGGAACCAATTCAACCTCAGTCTTAATTAAGTCCTCAAATTCTTAATTTAGTGGTAAATTTTGTAACTTGCGTTAAAACTTTACAGAGAAAAGCATGTTTGTTGCACATGATTCTATGCAAGGTTAAAGGAAGGATGACAATTAACAGAATTTCCACAAATGCAATTTACAACATATTGTGGTCAGAATCCTACTTCACTATTCTATTGTAACTACCACAATTCAAATCGGCACCAAACCAAATTCATGGTTCAGACAAATTGAGGAAAAGTGCAAGTGACGTGACAAAAATGGATACAAACGTCAGTGTCAATTAAATACTAAATCTAGTAAAAAAATTTAATTTCTAAGTTTTTTTTTTCTTTTTAAAAAATGGAATTCTTAGTATATTTTCTTCTACGTTGAGTTGCGCTTTGTATAAAGATTGAAACATTAATGTAAAGTTATTTATTCAAACTAAAACAATATTGTTTAGAAAAGAAAAAAAGGGCCAACATACCAAAACTGTATTAAAGCCTTTTTAAATTATACTTTCAACAAATCAGAGGATTTTGTTACGAATATACATTATAGCCAATAAGCACCAACGAACAGAAGCAATCAACAAATATTAAGGGGAAAAAAAAAACTCATTTATGCAATAACTAAACCTTACACTCGCAATACACCAAGAAACAATTTCAGGTGAACAATCTGAACTTTTTTTCCTTAAACGAGATAAGAAACATGTCTTTGAAGCAAAACGACAAGTAATTCAAAGAGTAATAAGAAAGAGCAATATTTGACATAAATATGGACATAATATTCACCAAAAAAAAAAACAGAAATATCCAAATTAGTTACAATAATGAGATTGCCGGAGTTATAGTATAGAAAACTCATTTGCTTTTTCAGCATAAACTAATAAACAAAAACAAAAGCTTAGCTTCAGAAAAATGTGAAGAATCACATTATCCTTCTCCAAAGTTACTTCCGGTTGCAACAAAACCATTACTCTGACAAAAGTTCAAAATTGACATGACCAAGGTAGTGGAAAACTTCATCTTCTGAAATTTCAACGACATTGTAATTGCAGTTGGTGTCAGAATATTCCATCAGCGACAAGTCGTTTTGAGTATCACCACCACCACCACCAAAATTGGAAACTGAGCCATCTCCATCTCCAACAGAATCAGTACCAGAAGGAGAACAAGTGGCACCAAACTTCTCAACCGCATACGACATGTCGTTGGGTGAATCCATCGCAGCAAGAGGACGAACACAACCGCCAATCTGTGGGAAAAGAGTAGTGTAACCTTCCATTCCAGCATAGTCAAAGTCAACATGATCGTTGAATGTTCCCACTCCATCACCAAAAAACGATGAAGAAGAGCTAATTCCCAAACCCCTTTTCATGCTTGAATCAACGTAATCAGTACAAGAATTAGCACAACTGGTACCAAAAGTTTCCACCGAGTACGATATGTCGTCCATCGAAGAAAGAGGAGAAACGCAAGCACCACCAATATGTGGGAACAAAGTAGTGTAATTTTCCATTCCAACGCAGTCAAAGTTGACGTAATCGTTGAATGGTCCCACTCCACCAGTTGTTGCACCAAAAAACGACGAAGAAGAGCCAATTCCCAATCTCTTCACCATGCTAGTATGACCCAACTTCTCCACCGAATACGGCATGTCGTTTGATGAATTCACCACAGAAAGGGGATAAACATCAATGAGATCAACTCTTTCTTCGTTACCAGAAAACGACGTAAAAGAACCAATTCCAAATCTCCTTCTGATGCTAGTATCAGCAGAATCAGTACCGAAATAAGCACAATTGCCACCCAACTCTTCCACCGACATGTCGTTTGGTGAATTCACCACAGAAAGAGGGCAAAAACCAGTAAGATCAAATTTTTCTTCTTTACCAAAACTCTTTCTGATGCTAGTAAAACCAAAATTACCACAACCAGTACCCAACTTTTCCACAGAAAACGACATTTCGTTTGAAGAACCCACCACTGCCGCAAGAGGACAAACATCAATCTTTTCTTCCTTACCCGAAAACGACAATCTGTTCCTGACGTTATCAAGAAGCGCCAAGTACTTACCCTTCAAAACCTCCAACTCTTCCAATGTCGTACCACAACTCCCCCACTCTCTCTCAATCCACGCCTTCACTTTCTTCATCTCTCTGCTTTGCCCTAATTCCTTCATTCTGCGTTTGAGCCGCTCCAGTCGTTCCGTTTGGCGCCTCCGCTCTTCGGCTTCGAAACGACCATCCATTGGCGTCGTTTGGCCGCCGAGATAACAATGAAGAACGTCGTCGACGGAAGAGTGGCCGAAAGCGAAGGGATTTCCAGTCGGAGAGAGGACGACGAGAGCGATTTGGGCGTCGTAGTAGTAGCACAAATCGAAGGCTTTGTTGAGAAGGCCTTTTCGTCTCTTTGAGAAAGTTACGTAGTTCTTCGCTTTTCTTCCTCCTTCTTCCATGGCTTCATTAAAGCCTCTCTTTCTCGCCATTGTTGAAGGGTTTCTTATTATTTTCTGAGTCGTTGGTTTCCCTTTTATGAGAAAGTGCTAGCCGAGTTTAGAAAGAAAACTTGCTTTCTAAGTAAGTTCAAATGTGTAAGAAGTCCTAGCAAAAAAACCTTTTAGTACTCCCCACAATTTTATAGAAACCGGTTGTATCCGGTTAAATAGAAAAAGTGATTTCTTTACCCCTGAAAAAATAAAAAATAAACTTTTTTTTTTTTTTTTTTGGCTAAGGAAGGAACGAGTTTGTTTTTATTTCCAAAACAAAAAACCAGTTTGTTTATATTTAAAGGTCTTTTCAGTAAATTGGCACTTTCCTAATAGAGTAGTGATTAAGTGAAACAAGAGAACACACAAAAAATTGAGATAATTAGTTTCAATCACTTTTCTACAATCCATTTGATACGAGTAACTTCTACTTTGCATAAATTATTTTACCCTAAGCCAAATTAATTAAAAAAAAACAACTAAAGGGAATTAATATCAATAATCAGATAAAAAAAAACCTCAGCGACTTCTTCTTCACCGACCCTATCTCTCTCATTCTCTTCTTTCTCTCTCTCCACCCTAAATTGCAAATTCCGTTGTGTGGTTTCGAAATCTTAGACGGTTTGAAACTCATTTCAAAATGATTTCATTTTTTATATGAAAATGAAAATGAAAACGTTTTCAATTTCAGACATAAATTATTTTTAAAAATGCGTGTGGTAGTTTTATCAAGAGATTATTTTTAATGTAAAAAAACTCATTAATGTCTCTCTTTCTCTCTTTCTGCTTGAGAAAGGAAAAAACGAAAATAAAAAATAACAAACGACTAAAAGTCATTTTTCATTTCTCTCTCATTTTATACTAAATCAAAAAATCATTTTCATTTCTGTTTTTTATTTTTATTGCGCCAAACACTGTTTTGAAAATATTTTCATTAATCAAAAAATTGTTTTCATTTCTGTTTTTTATTTTTATTGCGCCAAACGCTGTTTTGAAAATATTTTCATTGTTTCTTTCTCAAAAAACGTGAAAAATAAAAACGGAATCAATTTCAAACACGTATGTTTCTAAAATGATGGTTGGCAGAGTATGCATACAGAGAATAACAATGGCAGAATAAGAAAGGCCTGCGGTGAACGACGTTTTACAGATGCTTCAAATTTCAAAATGCATAATCAAGCTTACTTGTCGGATAGACGTTAGTCTCTGAGGTTGAAGCTCTATATTTGACAACAAGAATTTTGTCAAAAATTGAAATAGCTTATTAGTAACAATATTGGAACCTTGATTCCCATTCGAGTTTTAATTTTCACATAAAATCACACATTAATTTAAATTAAAAACTTAAATTAACAAATTAAACAAAACAAAAAAAAAAAGTACAGAAACCTGTATTGTTTCTACAATATACGATATCCCAGCAAGTGCCTTTTGTTTTCCTAATATAGTGTGGGGCCGCCCGCACTTTACAAAAAAAAAAAAAAATGAAACTATCAAAATTCTAACTCTGATAGACACACGCACACACTTACCCATGCAACTACTTGAGCCTTGAGGCTAGCTGGTTTCTGTTAATGACTACTTGCTCTGAGCAAAAATTTACTGCATCATAAGAACAAAACTTGCTGGCTTGCAAGGATTAAGGAAAAAAAATTTGGCGTTGCTACCATCATAATTCATAAAGCAATACAACAAAAATTTCCCAACAATTCCGTAAGCGACAACTTTGTGCCGTACTCAGATTCAAATGATTTCATCCTCAAAATTTTAATTCAATTTTCTCAAATCAACTTTGAGCATTACAACAAACGCTATTAATCCAACGACCATATTCAGGCTCTAGCCAACTAAACAAAAAGACCAGCCATAGGACACAGTTATGACATTTGCAGGTAGAAACTCATATGAGCTAATTAGTTAAACTCATACGGGTTTGTCTAACTCATTATTGAGTTTGATTCCTTGGACATTGGCTCAAGTTACAAAGCTCTTCAAAATTCTGCTCCTATACTTTAAACGGATACTAATTAGCTCCTGTATCTCTTCAAACTTCTCAACCAGATATCAATGATTATGAATCAAACTGACATGATCCAATGGCAAAGTACTAAGAGGAACAAAAGATTTCGGACAACACAGAAAACAAAAAGGGCCCATTTGGTAATAAGGAAGTTAGACTAGAGAGTAAGATCTTTGGGGTCCTCGATTATGCTTGCCAATGTTTGCAAGAATGAAGCAAGATCAGCACCATATATCACACGATGATCTGCTGTGACATTTACCTGAAAAGGTTGTGTGTTTTTAAGCATCAGAATCTGCGAATTCAGTCTAATTCTTCTACTTTACACATTTTCAAAATTTAATCACCTGCATTTGGTTCTGCATACCAATCCTACCATCCTTGGTAGCCACAACAGAGGGCTGAGAAGCTCCAACAGCCATAATCGCACCCTGTTGAAATTAATGTTATAAGGTCATATATTTACTAGTGTTACGGTGAGTGCCCAATAGAGGGTAAACTGTAAATATACGAACATATAGGCAACTTACAGTTCCAGGTGGCAGAATGGCATCAAATCGATCAACTCCAAACATTCCAAGATTAGAAAGAGTGAAAGTACCTAAAGAAAAGGCAAAGAATCATTAATCTCATCTAATGTTGATTGGTTTATGGGAGGAGACTTTCACACACTACTTTTGAAAATGATAAAAACAAGAACCTCAAACCATATGCATGTGTGTAAGAATAGTGATAAAAACAAATTAAGACGTTGAAAAAAAAAAAAATCCATCTCGCGAAAGCAATTTGACTAGATGACAAATGAAACTAAGGCAATTATTACAAACCGCAATATGATAAAATAACCCACTAACTTCAGCCCTCTATCTTCAATGGTCCTTTGTTCTATTCGAAGTATGTATGCAAAAACTTCATGCTACAAAGTTTACATTAAGTACAACTTTTTCGTGACTGACACACTCAAAGAAAATTAGCAAAGAGCCTTGAATTGCATGAAGGAGAAAGTTAAGCAGTTAATATTAAGTTGATGTTAATGTCAGAGCCTAGCATTTTCTACAAACTTTATCTATGAAAGCCTCATGTCAACCCATGTTCAATACCATTTGGCCACAAAATCAAATTTTCAGTAAAACAAGAGCAAATGCTATGTATTTTTTCATTCTTTCTTTTAACCGGAAAACATTAAGAATGTATTCTTGAGCTACTGGTTTTAGACATTCCATTGTCAAAAGAACACATATTTATGTGCATAAGCACCTTTTTTTTTTTTTTTTTGATAACCGTAGTGACCGAGACTTTGCCCCGACTAATCCATAGGATCCATGCAAACTGCAAAGCACCCCCTCCACATAGATCGGGTAAATCTAGGGCATTTGGCCCACGGGCATGGACCCAAGGAATTGATAGAACTTGATGGGAATCGAACCTTGGACCTAATGCATCTTGAGGCACCAAGTCCAAGTGATTCACCACCGAACCAACCCCTTGGGGTTATTTAAGTACATAAGCACATAGGTAGATATTTATGGATTTGCTTATTGTATAATTATCTTATGACTGCTTTATGCTGCATTATTTTACCCCTACATCAATACTTCTAGAGGTAAATCTTACTGCCAAAAAATTGCAGATTGGTGCTTCACAGTGTGGTAAGATACCGATGACAAACAATAAATGCATCACTGCGGGGGCAAACTCAATACTTAAACACAGTAACAAACCGGTTAAAGATCCATCCCCAAACTAAGCAGACCCAGATTTCCCTGATAAAATAGCCTATGTAGAGCAGCCAGCAAGTTTAAGCTTTTATGAAGTTTGATTTCTGCTGTAGTTCTTTATTTGACATCATCTGTCTAAGACTATCAAAGGCATTCGTTGATGTTCTCTAAGAGGCCTGATTGTCGTCTTTTTGGTTCAATGAATTACCCACTTGAGGAATATAGTAAAAAGGAAAATCAGAAAACAGCCAACCCATCACTTAGTTCAAAATTCTATCAACATACTTGGTTTTAGAAACAAACAGCACAAGAAAGATAAATTCAAAAGGGCAGTGTTAAACTTATAACTACTTCATATTGATTCTCAAGAATGTAAGTACACTCTAACGATTTGAGGGATGAAATCGATCAAGGGGAATGAAGAGGTGGCAAGCACGATTATACTACCTCAATTGTAGCTTTCATCACCCATAACATATCACCGAAAGATCACTCAAAACAAATTTTTTAAGCTATCAGGCACTCTGTGCATGTCAACAAATTTCGCATTTTCATATAAACGCCCTTATTCAACAGACTCGCAATTAACCCTCTTTCAATGCATTAATATAGGAGTTATTTACCATTTCCACATCATTTTTCCAATATTTTGAATTTTTTTCCTGTTCATAATTTTGACAACCCCAACAGAAATTTGTAGAAATTCCTACGAAATCAGAAACTTTAGTTGTGCAGTGCAAGGAGAACCTTTTAACATGTTCAATTTTCCAGGCTATGTGCTAAGTTTACCTGTATTATATTCATGAGGCTGCAGCTGCTTGGCCCGCGCCTTATCAACTAATTCCTTCCACTTTCTTGACAGTGAATAGATATCAACCTAATACACACATCAAGATAAATCGTCACAGCTTCTTCAGTACTTCCTATTCCTCTCACCTGCTTCTTGAATCTGAACCATGACAAACAGAACAATACAGAACAGAAAAGGCAAAAAAAACAGACCTTGTCAGCATCTGGCAGCACCGGAGTGATTAACCCGCCATCCAAAGCGACAGCAACTGCAATGTTGATGCTACTATTATATGTAAAGCTGTTACCATCCCTACAACTGGAGTTCACTACAGGATGTTTGGCCAGAGCTAGAGCCGTCGCCTTCGCAAGCAACGCTGTCATAGTAACTCCCTTTGACTTTACCTGGTAATGGAATAGTTACATCAACAAAAGCAAAAGACAGAACAACTTAAAGAATTTATCATTACCTGGACTATTGTATGATACTTGACACTCTTAAATCAGAACGTTGTCTTCCATAAAACATCAAAAACATTCAAAACCACTAGCCAAACAAAAATGAAAAATCCAATTACAAAGTCAGATTTTTGAAAAACAAATAATACAACTCTCAATTGGGAGATAGAAAACAAAAACCATCAAGCTCATATGCCGTGTTTGGAATTGATCTCGTTTTTATTTTTCACATTTTTTGAGAAAGAAAAAATGAAAACCTTTCTAAAACGGCGTTTGGCGCAATAAAGACAAAAAACATAAATGAAAACGATTTATTTTTCATTTTTTATTTTCGTTTTCTCCTCTCGAGAGAGACATTAATGGGTTTTTTATATTAAAAATAATCTCTTAATAAAAATACCAAACGCATTTTTAAAAATGATTTCTATCTGAAATTGAAAACATTTTCATTTTCATTTTCATACAAAAAACAAAATCATTTTGGAACGAGTTCCAAACGCGCCCAAAATTTAGCATGATCAAGCTACTTCCAAAGTTCAATCTTTCCCCAAGACTAGTTAATACTTTCCAGGAAGCGTAATGGTTTTCGTGTAATATCCTAATAAATTGAACGCATCAAACCAAAATCTAAAACATCATAAATCTCCAACATTTCTAACTGAGCATCTTGTTAAAGTATTCAACACATCATTTATAATGAAATAACAATATCAGAACGAACATCAGCTTTAGCAAAATCTTTCATTACCTTCTTGTAAAGAGCATCAAGAGCATCAGTGGTGATAGTGTACCCAACTCTAAAAGTTGGAACTGACAGACTCTCAACCATGTTCTTGCTCACAGCACCCTGCATTGTGGTAAAAGGCACAACTGTCCCCAGTTGGATCCCCGGCGACGGTGATGACGCGGCAGGCCCACTGCCAGCCGCCACGTTCGACTCAACAGCCGCCGCGGCCGCTTCCTCCACGTCCTTGGCCACAATTCTCCCCAACGGCCCGCTTCCGAGGATCCTCCCCAAGTCCACCTTCAGCTCCTTGGCCAGCTTCTTCGCATACGGCGAAGCCACAATTCTCTTGCCTCCATCCGAGGCCTGGTGCGTCGAAGCCACCGCGGCAGCCGGTGGCGGTTTCGCCACCGCCACTGAAGCCACATTCACCACCTGCGGCTCCGGAGCTGCTGTGTTCGGTGGCGGCGGGGGCGACGATGACGATGACGATGAAGAATTGGCTTTGGCCTTGGCCTCGGCGATCTCAGCCTCGGACTCCGCTAATAGGGCAATGGCGGAGCCGACTGAGGCGACGCCGCCTTCCTCGACCATAATTGCGGCGAGGTAGCCGTCGTAGAAGGTCTCGACATCCATGTCGGCCTTGTCGGACTCAACGACGACGACGCTCTCGCCCTTGGAGAGCTTGTCGCCCTCGGACTTGACCCAAGAGACGATCTTGCCCTCCGTCATGGTGGAGCTCAGGGCCGGCATGAAGATCTCGCGGATCTTGGCCTGGACTGAAGCCCGGCCACGGCGGCCGGAAATGCGGGCGCCCGGCGGCAGATTGGGGCTCCGACGGAGGGTTTGGGCGGAGGGGACGAAGGGAGTGTTGAGAAGGTGAGCCATTTGTTTGAGGAACTCAGTTTCTCTCTCTTTGTTGATGCGATTTGTGTGGGTTTTTAGAGAGAGAAGAACAAGAAATGGGGGTTGGGTTGTGTTTGCTTTGTTTGGTTTTAATAGAAATCTTTGTTTGCTATGATTTTGGGGAAGTCCTCGAATGCATCGAAAGAAGGCGGAGGTTCCAATTCCAAGTTCCAACCAGATTACCGGTGAAGGTGATGACGTGTGTTGGTGTATTTGTGAGTTTAGGTTTGGGTTTGGTTTTGGTTTTGGGACTTGGGTTTTGATATCTGTCCAAAGTGCGAGTGTGATATTGTGTATTTTATTCTCCCTCCTTTTTAAAAAAAAAAAAATAATAATGATAATAATTTATGGTAGCACATATTATTTTTAACTATTTAATTAATTTTTATAATAGTTAGATCTACACATATTTACATTAAAAATTTATAGTGCGTGACACATGATTATTTCTACTTTAAATTAAACTATTAAAAACCTAATTTGATTACTAAAACAAAATTTCTGTTTATGAAGCAAAATAATTTTCTCCATCCTAAATGCACACTTTTTTTTATTCATGCATATGAAATTGGGATGTAAATTCAAATTTTTACTCTAAAAAACTCCCAACCTTCTTTGTTCCGTCTACTTTTCATGCAGATTGAGGAATAAGATAATCGAAAGACCCGTTTAGTTCGTTGATTTAAACTTTTAATTTAAATTAAAATGTGACTTTATGAGAGAGTTTTTTATTGTAGCAAAAAAGTTAAATGTGACTAATTTTTAAAATATTTTACTATAGTAAAACTCGAATTGGTAAAATGAACATGGCCGAAATTCCCCACTCAGAATCACCCAATAGTATGGGCAGGTAAGAATGGGTGTGAACGGTGAGTTTGTTGGGTGAGTAGAGCCTCTTTATTTTTGTAAAGATTGTTTTTGATCATTTTTTTTTAGGTAATAAAATATCCAATAAATAATATCAAGCGTGTGGCTATTAAAGTCCATAATCCATACAGTAATACACTCCATCTATAACGCAAGTTCATAATCCATAATTTGATATAACACAAAAATAATGAAAGAGTTTATAGCAAATCTCTAACTTTAAGTCTCAAACTCTAAATATAATGCAATAAATAAACAATTTTCCATAACTTTTAAGGAGTTTATAATATAAAACTCCTTAAAAACAAAACACACCTCCAAAGCAGTCAATTACACGAAGGAAAAATAGACAACCCCACAAAAAAAAGGTAACCAGCCCAAAATTGGTGGTGTTAATGTGGCCCCATTTTGATAGTTGGGGTGGATAAGTGGACGGTTTGAGTGTGTTAGCGGATTTGATGAATATCTCTACCAAACATAATGTTAGAGTAATGTGGATTTTATCTCCTCTATTATACATAACAAAGAAAAATGGTAGAAAATAGGCCAATATAAAAAGTTTAAAAAAATATATAGGTCAATTTTTAATTATAGAAATTAATAGGCCATAACTTGTCAAGTTATGGTTCATAACTGGATAAGTTATGAATAAATTTGTCAAGTTATGGTTCATAGTCAGACAAATTATGGACAATAACTTGTCAAGTTATGGTTTAGAACCAGACAAGTTATGGACGAAAACAGCAATTTGACATATTTATTAACTTATGTAAATTATTAGCCTATTAATTTTAATTCATCTCAAATTTTGACATATTTTCTTCTTTCTCCCTTATACAAATTGCAAGGCCCACTTTTCAACCCTAGCAAAAAAAAAAAAAATCTAAAAAAAAGAAATTAAGGAACTAAACTTTTAAGAATATTCAGTCTTTAATGTAATCATTATGTCATTTTTAATAACTGAATAATCATTCACTTACATTTAAACTTTTAAGAATATAGATAAATAAAAAAAGAGTATTTTATAGTTACTGACATTGTCTAACGGTAGAAATTCCACATCTAATTGCACTACAAAATAAAGAGTTTAAATTCTCTCGTCCTGAATTAAAAAGATAAAAGTAAAAGGAGTAATTTCATTAATATTCACTTTTATGTACTCTAATTCTAGTACCACTCAAATTATGAAAAAGGGTTAAAGAATAATTGGGCATTTATTTCTCTTTTTTCTTTTTTTCTTTTCCCTTTTTTTGGGCATTTTTATTTCACAAAGAAGGGGGATTTTTTTTTTTTGTTAATAAAAGATGGAGGCTTAAAAAACAGTCAATTGCCAAACATTCCATTAAAAAAAAAAAAAACAGCCAAACATTCCATAAAAAAAAAAAAAAAAGCCAAACACGCCCTTATGTATCCCATACATATTCTACGGATAGATAAACAGTCTCCGGAGTCTCTGACATGTCCATCCATCCGCGAGTGCCAATGAACTCTGCCTTTCTTTTGGCTCGTCAACTTCTCCGACACTGAGAAAGAAAAGAACCCCAAAATTCCCACTTACACAACACTTTGGTTGAATTGAATCTGAATGATTTTGGAAGCAGCTTTAATTCCTTATAATAATCCAACCCAGAAACAAAAAATGCTTCTCCAAAGCAGCAGCAGCAGCATGTCATCTCCTTCTCTTCTTCTTCTTCAGCACCACCACCAAGGCCTCTCTCACTTTCAGTCACTCCTCCCACTTGTTTCCCTCAAGCTCAAGCCTCACAAGCTCTCTCTCCAGGTATACCAAAACCCATTTCTTGTTTTTGCCATACATCGATTTTTCAGCTTCAATTTTGTGTCTCTGTGTGTGTTTTGGGGCCTTTTTTTGAGAAGTGTGAAAAAAAGAACCCCCGAAGAGGAGAACAAAAAATTGTTGAGAAATATTCAGAAGGCCTTTGTTGTACTCTAATAGGAGCAGTTCACATTCTTCCTTAGATAGAGTTGAGTTTTGTAGTTGTTATACTTGCCAATGCGCTGATACTGAGGTAAAAGTGAACTAAAATTAAGGATTGGCAGAACAAAGAGAAATCTCCCCCTGTCCAATTGTTTCCTATTGCAATTTATTTGATGAATAAATGACTAGAGTTTGTCAAAAGACCGATCCTACGCTGTAACACGTCGTGTATTGGAGTGTAACATGGCATTTATTATGTATAACAATGACTTTAAAAACGAGTAGTATTGGTAGCTATGCGTAGATTTGATAAATTCGTATTGAAATATCAGTTGTTGTGAAAGTGTGCTAGAATTGGTGGTACTTATTGATGTAAAAAGCTTTTGTAATGTGCTTTAGGCCGTTGTTCAGCGCTTCAATGAACCTGATTTGAACACGTCTATCCCAGCTACCAAATCAAATGCTGCTAGGTTACCTAAGTCTCAGGTATGTGTTCGGAAAAACCCCTTTCGTTTGTTTAGGGAGATGAAATATAAGTAGAAGTCCTAAAAGTGGTTCACCAGGTCACTTTTCTTTTGTTTCCTTCTGTTTTTTATTTTTTATTTTTATTTTTTTGCTACTTGTAATTGTAAAATGTTTTACTTTCTTACTTAATGTCGTTATCACCAATCAGCTGGACTGAACTCAAATGCTTCTGGTTCTAGTTTTCTTTCAGAAACTCTTGTAAGCTCTAGGTACCAGTGAGTTCGAAAATGAAAAGTCATTGTTTCAGATTTCATAAGTCATTGTTTAACCTTTCAAACAGTATAAATCAGGCGTGTTACTGTTTGGTACATGGGTTCGCATAAATTGAACCCGTGTACCCAACTCAAATTGGTTCACACAATCTGAACCCGTGTACCCAACTCAAATTGGTGTTTGCTAGACTACTTGGATTACTTTATTTGAACCGTGGAGATGATTTTGAAGCGGCTCAAATAGCCAATTTGAAGATTTACCTTCTCCCTAAATTCATCCAACCCTGACCCTTTTGTACAGTAATAATTCTCTAATATTTCTTAGAATTCATGTTTTCAACAATATTTTAGGCATAGATTCGGATTGTATTTCTTGCTCAGATTTTACACTTTAATTGCATGTCCAAACGCCAATTCGGGTTGCATTTTAAACTATACAGTTCAAAGAAATTCGCCAGAATCAGAATCTGCATATCAAACAAACACTTAGATTCTTTAAGACTTTACTTAAATTCTTTAAGACGTTAGCTTTCATAAAATTTTGTGCTAAAAGTGCTCATTTCTTACTCCTAGCCACAAATTGTTGTAGCACTTTGAAAAGGACCATATGATGTGTTTACTTATCCTCCTAGTTACTAATGTATTGCATAGTTACTAATGTATACTCAATGGTGGTGAAGGCAGACGGTCCAAAGGGAATTGCCAATGCAAACCCTCACCTCTACAAAGTCCCAGAGTAATTTACTGATCTCTGTTATACTTCTTTTGTGTTCTTGAATTTTATATTGCTGCAGTTATTATCAGCCTAACTGTTGTTCATCAATCTATTTGTTGATCGTTGCTCTAGATTACAATGTTTGAGCATGTCACCTTAGTTTGATTATTTGAAATTTGAACCCTTCTTTTACAAAATCGGTGCGCAATTCAAAAAATGATTCATTTTTGCAAACAAATTAAGCCGTTAACAAATAACAGTATAAATCAGGCGTGTTACTGTTTGGTACATGGGTTCGCATAAATTGAACCCGTGTACCCAACTCAAATTGGTTCACACAATCGGAACCCGTGTACCCAACTCAAATTGGTGTTTGCTAGACTACTTGGATTACTTTATTTGAACCGTGGAGATGATTTTGAACCGGCTCAAATAGCCAATTTGAAGATTTACCTTCTCCCTAAATTCATCCAACCCTGACCCTTTTGTACAGTAATAATTCTCTAATATTTCTTAGAATTCATGTTTTCAACAATATTTTAGGCATAGATTCGGATTGTATTTCTTGCTCAGATTTTACACTTTAATTGCATGTCCAAACGCCAATTCGGGTTGCATTTTAAACTATACAGTTCAAAGAAATTCGCCAGAATCAGAATCTGCATATCAAACAAACACTTAGATTCTTTAAGACTTTACTTAAATTCTTTAAGACGTTAGCTTTCATAAAATTTTGTGCTAAAAGTGCTCATTTCTTACTCCTAGCCACAAATTGTTGTAGCACTTTGAAAAGGACCATATGATGTGTTTACTTATCCTCCTAGTTACTAATGTATTGCATAGTTACTAATGTATACTCAATGGTGGTGAAGGCAGACGGTCCAAAGGGAATTGCCAATGCAAACCCTCACCTCTACAAAGTCCCAGAGTAATTTACTGATCTCTGTTATACTTCTTTTGTGTTCTTGAATTTTATATTGCTGCAGTTATTATCAGCCTAACTGTTGTTCATCAATCTATTTGTTGATCGTTGCTCTAGATTACAATGTTTGAGCATGTCACCGTAGTTTGATTATTTGAAATTTGAACCCTTCTTTTACAAAATCGGTGCGCAATTCAAAAAATGATTCAGTTTTGCAAACAAATTAAGCCATTAACAAATTGATATACTTCTTAACTGGTGGTCAATGAACAAAATGTGGTAGTAGTCATAGTCATTCTCTTCATTGACATTCAAGATCATGATTTTCAGTACTTATCATTAGTTTTGATTTATGGATGTAATTTAAATATACGCGATTTTGAAATGACCGTGTGATTTGGTGTATGCCTTCTATGCTACTCTTTATTTTGTTTTGCTAAAAGTATTCTTATTTTGATAGATTAAGTGAAATATATCTACGTAAAATATGGCAAAATTAATTACAGAATCAATAGAATGGCCACGTTTTATTTGCAAGTTTACCTTGTATGTAAATAATTTACGAAAGAAGGTTCCATATACTATTGACAATGAAGCATATTATTAGAAAATAGCTCAAATTCATAACTTATCAGTTGAGCAAATAGTTTTAAGTTGTTTTTTAATTTATTGTGGTAGCTTCAGCATCATTGTTCTGTTTGTTTTCTTGCAACAAAATTGAGGCCTCTTCATGCCGTAGATGTACTTTGATAAGTGCATAATTTTGACAAATCTCCTTGCAAGGCCCCTTGTATTTCCTGTAGAAATGCAGAACGATTATGTTACAGTGCAGATAAATTTCTTATGAACTATCTGTTTTGATATTATATTTGAATTTCAGAATTTTTCAGGAACCTTTTGGTTTCCAAGGATATTGAAGTTATGAAAAGGTCATTACTTTGTGTATCCACATTATCAATTGGACTAACCTTATGGTTCGTTGCTGCACCAATGGCACATGCAAGTGATAAGATAAACGGGAATGCTGTTTACGAGGTTGGCGAGTTATTTGAGTTAGGAATCCAGCTGTCATACTTGCTGTTACTATTAGGTTTTCTTGGAGTTGGAACCTTCTTTGTTATTCGTCAAGTCCTTGTACGTAGAGAACTTGATCTTTCGGCCAAAGAATTGCAGGTAACCTCTATATCTTATCTCCATGCCTTGATGGTCATTGACATTACTTTCGGTAACGACCAAGATGAATTATTTAGAGAGAAGAAAAAAAGTCATCCCAAATTTGATCTTATGCTACTTAAATTCTCTTTGTTCTTATCTATTCTGAGTTTCAGGAACAAGTACGGAGTGGTGATGCTAGTGCAACTGAATATTTCGAACTTGGCGCAGTGATGCTGAGGAGGAAATTTTACCCTGCAGCTATTAAGTACTTGCTTCAGGCAATTGAGAAATGGGATGGAGATGACCAAGATCTTGCCCAAGTATTACCTGATCAAATATAACCATCATGTTTCTAATGCTGCTCGTCATCGTGTTTCTCTCATTAGTGAACCATCGTGTTTCTAGTTTTTCCTCTCTAGTACACTTCATCAAAACTTAAACTAGATCCTATCTGTAGGTTGAGGAGAAAAAGTATCTATCAAGTATTGTTCACGGTCAAGTAAATAAAAATTAGTTTCGCTAAAAATGTTTTTGCTCTTCATCATACATACTAAAAATCTTAAAATTTAAATGTCTTCGAAAATATCAGACAATAAGATAACATATGGAATTGTATCATTTATAGCTGCATATTCAAAATCGTCACATTTCAAGAGCCTGGATTATGGCTTTATAAGTGTTGTTAACATGCATCTGAGACTTAGAGCTTGTTTGGTATGAGGGAAAAGTGGAAGGTGAATAAAAGTAAGGGGATTTGTGGAGGCATTTTAGGATCTATGGCGGTTTGATGGTAAGGTTTAGAGGAGGGAAGGGATTGGGTGAGGGATTTAAAACCCTCCAAAGAAACCCAATTTGGAGGGTTCCAAAAGGGAACTTATCAACTTGGACTATATTGTCAAATTCATTTGTAGTTTTTTGTTTCATCCACTTAAGTCAAATAAGATCGAATGCCTCTTTTTTTTTTTTTTTTACCATCTTATGATTTTGTGTGTCATGATTTTGTCCGATAACGTTCTTCAAAACTGTCGAATGTTCAACAGGTTTACAATGCCCTTGGTGTCAGCTTTGTCCTTGATGGCAAGCTTGACAAGGGAATTACTCAGTTCGAAACAGCCGTGAAACTTCAACCGGGCTATGTCACGGCTTGGAACAACCTTGGAGATGCTTATGAAAAGAAGAAAGAGTTCAAGGCGGCTCTAAAGGCATTTGAAGAAGTGCTTCTTTTCGACCCTAACAACAAAGTGGCGCGGCCAAGGAGAGACGCCTTGAAGGAAAAGGTGGAGATGTTAAGGGGAGTTCCTGTGAAATCGAAGGAAAGGTGATCTAATGAATATCTTTCTGTTTTAAGGCTAAAATGATTATCAGCTATCAAGACTTTATTTGAGGTTTGCTTGAAATGAGCTCAATATTAGCAATTAGAAAATGAGATTCGATCACTTTCGTATAGTTTCCTGATCAAGTACCTAAATGATGTCCTTCCTTTTCTGTTGACACAAAGATGAGTAATTTGTATTTTGTAGAACCGGAACAAGTTGATTTCTTAAAAATTACGATGAACCCAAGTGTATTCCAGATTACTGTGTGTACTGTTTTTATTTGACTCCTCTCTAACCTTTTTGCTCTTTGGAATCTTTCATTCTTCTTAGTACTTATACTATGCATGTACTTATTTATATCTCTCGCTCAGTTTCCTAGTTCAAGGAATTGTTTTAGACCAGTCTTGAACTGTTTTAGACCAGTCTATTTTGTTATTTTTTATTTAGGAGACGTTTTGATTCATGGATTAGAATCATGAGATTAGAACCATTTTCGATTTTGCGTGTATTTTTTGTGAGAGAAAACACTGTAGCGAATTATGAATCATGATTCAAATCATGTTATGAATCCTCTTACCAAACGTCTCTTTATTCTTTTTGGGTATGTTCAGACCTGAAACTTTTAAACTGAAAACACTGCAAGTTACACAAAATAAAGAGATTGGTTTATAGCCTTGGGCAAGTTTTGGCTTCATAACTGACAGATTTTTTTTTTTTTTTTTTTTTTTGGGATTAAGTTTTGGCACAAAACATATGTTCTCTCATTGCCATTTTCACTGATTAGTTGATTTAAAATGGGTTTGTGATGGTTGTCATAAGAAACTGGTGTCCTCAACAGCCTAGCTTCATTTTAAAAGATTTTTTTTTCCCCTGAAAAGCTTCATTTGAAAGTTGTTTAAATTTGATTTGATTTTATTTTTAAATTTTTTTTTTATACTAAGCGGCAGTTCTCATTAAATTTCAACTTTTTGTTTCTATTTTCTGAAGCAAAATTTAACTTTCGTATAATTATGATTATGATTTCCGTCTTATTATTTTTATTCAAATATTGTGGAAAACGTTTTGAGTCTGTCTACAGTGCATGATAAAAAGAAAAATAAAGTAGAACTACTAGTTTTAAATCCGTTAGATAACGTTTTAGTGGATATATAAATGGCTGAATTGAGCTTGCATCTTATTATTATTATTATTATTATTATAAGTAGAAGATTGAGCTTGCTCTGTAGCAGCAGTACATAGAGTTTATATATTCGTCTTCTTAAATCTTAGGGTGTGTTTGGTTGGAAGTAATGGAACGGAAAGAAAAGCCCATTTCATCTAATTTCATCATTATGTTTGGTAGAAAAGAAAAGTAGAAGGAAGGAAGAAGGTGGAGGAATTTTGAGAAGAAAAATGAAAATGTAAGTTGTTTGACAGGAGAGAAAAGAGAAAGGAAGAGAAAATGGAGTGAAAAATAATACATATGGGCCTCTTTTTTTTTCTTTTCACAAGTGGACAGAAAATGGGATAAAAAATGGGGACAACTCATTAAAATGAGCAAAATTATTAAACTACTATTTTCTCCATCAACATCTAAGCAAAAAATTTAAGGGTATAAAAGTAATTTATGAGTAAAATTTTTTTTTTCTCTCAATTTAACTTCTAATACCAAATAAGTGAAGGTAAACTCATTTTCTTTCCATCATTGTTATTTTTCATCACTTTCATATTTCTTTTCCATCATATTTTCTTTCCTTCCTACCAAACATAGCAAGTTTCATTTTTTGGGTTGAAAAAGGCTTTCCTACGGAAAGCTCATTCACTTAGGATTCGTTTGGTTGGAGGATTCAAACCATGTGATTCGAATTATTTTTAATTTACGTGTATTTTTTATGAGAGAAAATACTGTAACAAACCACGAATCATGATTCGAATCAGGGAACGAATCCCTCTACCAAACACCCCCTTAATTTGAGTGAATATTCATTCCTTAGGGGGGCTAATGGAAAGACTTTTCTATTCAGTTCTTATTTCCTTTTTGTCCAAAATATCCCCATCTCCCTTTCGACACTTCCGCCACCAGCCATCAGATCAACGAAGTTGATCGCATCTGCGATCTTTGGTAACCTTAGAGGGAACTCGGAGGCTCAAATCTCGACGGATCTCTATTTGCGGAGGAGCTCCAAGGATCGTTGCCGATTGGTTCAAGATTTGGAACCACGATTCTTCAGCGGGATCTATTCTAGATCTTCTCTTCACCGCGAATGACCTTCACATAGTAGATGAAGGTTCGTCTCCAGATCTGGTTGTATATGGCCACCACCGCGAGATCCTCTCCCCATACGATGCCACCTCTGTTCTAGATTTTCTTTTTTGTGATTATTATTGATTTTTGAAAATGATCGAGGGTGAAAAAAAACGATAATTTCCCAGCAATTCAAGAGTAGATCTAAGCAAATTTGGATTTTTTTAATGGTGTGAGATTTTTGTAATTTCTGTGAAGTTGTTCGGAAAGATTTTCTTTCTGAAACTTGTGTATTAGAGAGAGAGAGAGAGAGGAAATTTATGTGAATTTTTAGACGATGGGTTTATAGAACTTTCATTATTTTAGTTTTTAGAGTTGTTGTTGCGGTGGGAATCCATTTAATTTCAATTATAGGTTGTAGATTCTGCCAAAATTTACCACAGACAGAGAGAGAGAGGAAACTTGGCCCGTTCATTTCACAAATTCGAGTTTAGAATTCGAATTTTATTATAGTAAAAAACTCTTACAAACAATCACATCTAATTTTTTTATTACAGTAAAAAACTCTCACATAAAATTACATCTCAACTCGAATTATAAATTCCAATCAGCGAAGTGAACAGAACTTCCATTCCTTTAATTTTCATTCCTCATACATTGTTTTGAGGTCATCAATAGATTCAGAAACTCGGCAGAAACAGTTTATACTGAGAAAAACATTCTTTTTCTTTCCCTCGCTGAAAGGGAAAGTATACTATTTCAAATGGTAGTGTAAATATAGGAAAAAGGCTTTTTCATGAAACTATTACTTGAAATTTATAGAAACTGTCATGAAGCAAGAGCAAAATAACGCCTTTCGAAGGTGCTCAAGTTCCTGATATTCTGCCTCTGCCTTTTTTATTTCCTCAAGCACCTTGTTCATTTAACCTCCATTGTGTTTTTCTTGCTGAAAAATAGGTGACTTGTTTTTTGTTTCGGTTCTTGTTTTTTTTTTTTGTTTTGTTTTTTAGTTTTGTTTGTTTTTTTCATTGTTTGCTACTGCAATTTTAAGAGGACGTTTGGTTGGAGGATTCAAATCACTGTAGCGAATCACAAATCATGATTCGAATTAGGGAACGAATCCATCTACCAAATATTCCCTAAATGATCATATTTGAGCATGTGATAAATATTTTTACATAAAAAAAATCAAATATTATTTATTTTACCATTGAAATATAGTTTTTAAATTTTATCCTTCAAATAAAAAGTTTTTTTTTTCAATAATTAAATTATTTTTTACTATTTTAATTAATTAAATATTAAATTACTTGATGATTATTAATCAAGGACATTTTTGTCAAAATATAATTTATTTTCATTCCATTCTGTTGTCAACCAAATAACATAATCTTCATTTAGGTATTGATTTTATAACTCCAACTAAATTATAGAATCTAATTATGATTCTAACACATTTTAATTTCATTCTATTATCATTTTCATTATCATTTTGTTATTATTCCACTACTGTAATTAAACACACCTTTAAGTTAGAGAGGTGAGACAAGTAATGGAATTAAAAAGCATTTGACTTTCTCTCTTTGTAAGCCGATTTTATAAGAGTGAGTTATACTTAAATAAGTTTGTAACAAGTGGTGTCAAATTCACTCCACCACATTCTTCTGTAGCTGCTGCCTATAGATGGGACGACTTGGGGAGGGCTGGGCTTTGCAAAGTTTCCTAGCTAGGAAGATGGGCCGTCATGGACGGCGGTTGCGGAGCTTGGTGGAATGTAAGATATCAAAAGTCCCGCATGGAATTATTACAAAACAAATAGTGGATTTAGAAGCCCTTAAGTTCTCTGCTTGTAAGTTGGTTTTGCAAACTTGAGTTTTATCTAATGGGTTTGTATTCTCAAGTCAACATAAACGTACAAACAATTAAACAAACCACGATATATAGGTGTAAGAGGGGAAGTTAGTTATTCATAATTGATTAACCGGATTCATTCATTTAACTATATTTACAATGTTACGCTTGAGCGGCTTACGCTAAACTTTGTTATGTTGGATATTTTGAAGGGCCTGTTTAGTTCGTTGATTCGAGTTTTTAATTTGAATTGAGATATGACTTTATGTAAGAGTTTTTTACTGTAATAAAAAAGTTAGATGTGATTGTTTCTGAGAGCTTTTTATAGCCCGTTTAGTTCGCTGAGTCAAGTTTTTAATTTGAATTGAGATGTGACTTTATGTGAAAGCTTTTTACTGTAACAAAAAAGTTAGATGTGATTGTTTGTAAGAGCTTTTTACTGTAACAAAACTCGAATTCTAAACTCAAATCAACGAAATGAACGGAGTCCAGTGTAACAAAACTCGAATTTTAAACTCGAATCGGTGAAATTAGCGGAAATTATTTTTGGTGTTTAGTTATTTAGCTAGGAAATATGTAAATCCATTTATCAACAACTCTAATTTCACAGAAACATACTAGTTAATTATAATCTCTCGCTACAAAATTATAAGCCAGTGAAAATGGACTTCTAGAGAGATTTGGTAATTTTGTTCTTTGGATAAAAACAAGTGAGAGACAAATTAGAGGAAGTAAAGATAGTTCCAAAAAGCACTCTTGTTTCTTCTTTGGTTCTCATTTCTCAAGTTAATATTTGCATTATTGTTGGCCTTTTGCTTGCTCTTCTTTTCTGACGGCTTAAGCTTTTCTAGTGGACTCAGTTGAAAAGGTGAGGGAGATTCTCTGTAATCAACATCAAGTGCTCGTCATTGCACATGTCATTGTTTGTGAAATCATTAGCACGCCTTTCAACCGAACGAAACAAGTCTCACTCCAAACTCTCATCCACTTCACTCAATTACTGTTGAAAAATCTCTTACGTCTTAATTTATTTATTTAAAAAAAAAAAACTCAAAATACCATTTGTGGTTTATCAAAATATCACTTTCATCTCTCTTATTCATACAAACATATAAAACAACCGTTGTGTTTATAACTCTTTTTTCAATTTATATTAATATTATTTTAGATATAATTTAACTAAGATGTTAAATAATTTTTTTTAAAATGCTCAAATAAATATTCTAATTAAAGAAACACTTTAATTATTTTGAGAGTTTTTTTATTTTCTTAAGATTGATTTTATTTAACATTTTGGTTTTATAATGTTTTAAATTTTATTTAATGAAAATTAGGATGGATAATCTCGATAGTTTAAAATATTTAATTGCATCGTGGGTGTTTTGAATCTGTTTTTATAAACACGGGGGGTGTTTAAGTATTTGTATAATAAAAAAGATAAAAGTAATATTTTGACAAAACACGTGAGATATTTTAAGTATTATCCTTATTTATTTTCAAGAGCTCTCTATAGTAAAAATATTCTATGGATGGTGCATGTTTAAAATATCGAATATGATCGGGATCGATCATATCAATATAATTATAAAAAAGAATGTAAAATTAGAATATAAAAGGAATTTTTGATGTTTTAGTAAACAACATAGCATTTAGCGTTGTGTTTTAATTTAAGGCTGAGTTTGGTATGCGGTATATAATTTAAGTAAGAAAAACAGAGAGGAATAAGAAAGCTTTCTCTAATTGTATTTGGAATTAATTTTCTTCTCTAATTGTTTCATACTACAGATTTAAAGTCTCAAATTCAAATCATTCCCTTCTTCTTTTCCTCCTACATACCAAACAACCGTAGTTACCAAAATTTTTCACTAATCCTCTCATTGTATCCTTCCTTTTAGGTTTCTTCCTACCAAACAAGTTCTAAAGCATATTATGTAAACGTACTATATTATTATATCATACTATAAAACAATGTGATATAATTAAAGAAACTGAGTAAAAAAAGAATAGGGTTAGAGACCTCTAAACACGTCTTTGCATCACGACTCGCAACAGATTAAAATTTTAATCCGTTTGTAACCCGTATATATTCAAATAAGATTTTTCCGCTCTATTTAAGGGGAGTCCTTATAAATAAATGAGTTAACATGTGAAATTACTGATGATGAAAAGTGATAAATGTAACCGAGTAAAAAATTAAAAAAAAGGGTACAAAAGAAAAATAAGTGTGATGATGATAAGTTTGTTTTGAGATTTAGTATATAGAAATAGATATAAACATAAATATAGATACATAGGTATATATGCATTATGTGAGATTAGATAGAAATTAATAATGATAATGGATGCGTTTAGAATTGATTTTAAAATGATTTTGTTTTTAATAAAGAGTAAAAATGAGATTGTTTTGAGAATCATTCTAGGACCGATTTTGAAATTGCGTTTAGTTGATTTTTGAAGAGATTGTTTTAAGTATAATAAAAAAGTAAAATCGTGTTTATTAATTAATTTATTATAATATTGTTGATAAGTACTAAAAAATGAAAGTCTCATTCATTTCATCTATTTGAGTTTTGTTACAGTAAAAAACTCTCAGAAACAATCACATCTAACTTTTTTACTGCAGTGAAAATCTCACATAAAGTCACATCTCAACTCGAATTAAAAACTCGAATCAGCGAACTAAACGGGATCGAAAACAGAAAAGTGAAAATAACTTTAAACTGTTTTCTAATTCATTCACAAAAACTATTCTCACTATTTTTGTTTTCAAAACATTTACTAAGGGGACGTTTGTTTCATATATTCGTCTATGATTTTGAATCATGATTCATGATTCTCTACAGTGTTTTCTCTCACAAAAAATACACGTAAAACGAGAATAATTTTGAATCATGATTCTAAATACATAAACCAAACGTCCTCTAAATAAACGTCGTTTCATTTTTATTTTTAATTTTTGTTTCTTAAAATACGTAAAAATTGTTTTAAAAAACGGTTATGCACAATAATCCTTAATATAATAAATAATGCATTGAGATTTATTTTTATTTTTGGGTTTGAAAATTCGTTTTGCTTTGACCATTGGCGGTGGCGTAGCTTCCTGGAACGTGGAGAAAGAGCATTCCGCCACCCCCTCCTCCGGTTTCACTCTCCCCAATAAATATTTTTAATCAACAAAACCCATAAACTCACACACCACAAACCAAGTCAAATAGCACCTTGTAATTGCCAATCAGATCCCCACCATCATCATCAGAGTCATCCTAGTTGGGTCCGTGGGGCCCTCTATTTCATGACCTTTCTTTCCTTCCACTCACTTTCCTAACCAACTTTTTATATGTGCATTAACCATGGGGATTGTCCTAGTGAGGTGAGTTCTACTTGAAACCTTTTCCTGACTTTACTTGATCCAATGGTTCAAATGAAACGGTTATTGCAACATTAATATATGATTGTTTTTTTTTTCCCCTTAATTAAAGTAGTGCATAATTATTTGATCCAATGGTTCGGGCATATTGTTTTTACTATTCAAATCACAACTCAAAATTTTTTTATTATAGTATTTTTTTCTCACATAAAATTTATTTTACAACTTAAATTTTCATTTTACTTGATCCAATGGTTCGGGCATTATTATTTGATCATAGTATTATATATGAAGTTAGAATTTTGACTGTTTGTCATGTAACATCGAGATTAGCATTAGTAATGGTATTAATTTCTAAAACGAAAAAATAGTAATGTTGATCAATATTATTTGTTATTTAGTGCTCACATACATGAGGATATATATGGCACAGATAACTAGCCTTTCTAATCTAATACTACGCGATTAATGTATTTTTTGGAAAAATAACTGAGAACAATATCAATTCTATGTACTAGAACTAATAAAAGATGAATTCCATCAGTGGCTTCTATACCGGGATTTATTTTCGCATTGATATCCTATAATGTTGTTTGATTTTTTTATTATTTTTTCATATCAGAATATTACATTGACAGTGATTTTTTATATTAATTACTATACAACCGCAATAATAGTACCACAACATGTAAATGGCGTATTCATTACCATCAGATAAAATGGTATGAGGCTTGAATTTGGGAGTGTTTCGACTCGATTTGTTATAAAAAAAAAAAAAAAAAAAAAAAAAAAGAAATTGCAAATGGGCAATGGGTCCTAATTTTTAACCCATGAATCTGTTGCACCATAGAATTCCTCCCTCCTCAACCAGGTGTCAAATTTTTTTGAAAAAAAAAAAAAAAAAATCGAACGACAACTTACCAAGTTCAATCAATCTGATCAGGGAAATTACACAAATCGTCGTTTGTGATTGGTGTGTCCCGGTCGGTCTTGAAAACAGAGTGACAAGTGGCAAAAATAACAACAAAATGGGACCCACCGAGGACTTACTGAAGGGACTGATGGATTTTTATTACTATTTTTTTTTTTAGTAACACAACGAGACAAAATGAAACAAAGCCAACAAAAATGAACGGTCTGATTGTGAGGGTTGACCAGGAAAGGTGGTCCCACTTTTGGTGTGAACAGTTGAACCCTCTTTTCTTTTCCCACGCCCGTCAGCGCCATCTTTCTTTTCTTCTCCATCTCTCTCTCGCTCTCTCTCTCTCAAAGCATGAACCAGCCAACTCAGAGGAGACAGACGGAGAGCATCTGAACAGTCTTGAATCCTGTGAGTTTCTCACTCGTCTTTCCTCAATTTGTTCATTGGATGAGTGTCTGTCTGTCTCTGTGTGTGTTTCTGATATATAGATATATATAAATATGTATGTATATATCTTTAGGATATGATACCAAATATTGAGCCTTTTCTCGGTTATTTTTAGCTTTTTTTAGTTTTTTTTTTAAATGAATGTTTTTGAGTTTTGGGTTGCTCTAAGAAGAAGGAAAAATTTTAGATTCTGGGTTGTGGAGGTCTTGTGAAAGGAGTTTTTGGCTTTGAGAGCTATCTTGATATGAGTTTTGGGATTTTGGATTAGTTTTTGTATTTATTTAGAAATTTTTTTACTGTAATTATTAAATATATTTTTGAAGAAAGTTATTTTAAATCGACAACCTGTGATTGGGGAAATTTGAGTAAATATCTGAAAAGAAGATGGCAAGTGGCCTTAAGAATGAAATTGACTTTGGGTGGAGAAAGGTAGTTCTTTTAAGGGAAAAAAAAGAAAAAGAATTCCTTTAAAAAAATTCATTTTCTTTTCTTTTTTCCTTCAAGTTGACTCTATATCTTGCTCTATTGCTTGATAGAAGTTTTGTTGAAAGTTGAAAGAAATGGGTAGCTAGAATATTTTGTTAACTGGGATTTAGGATTCCTTCTTCCCTGCAACTGCTTTTTTATTTATTTATTTATTTTTTTTTATTTTTCCATTCAATAGAGATAGTCCAACAGTTTAGCTTGATCTGAAACATATATTGTTAATGCCACTGTATCTTTTTTCCGCTCTATTTTCAGATTAAATTTGCTTAGTATAATGATAATTGTGTTCTTTATTTTTCAGCTTTAGTAGTTAGCATTAGGTCTTGATACTTTGAGGTAAGCACAAAAGGGGTCAGAATGGATCTTGAAGAGGCAGACCAGTGGGCAAATTGTTCTTCAAAGAAAGAGCTTTCATCATCTTATTCCAACTTCGATTCACGGCAGCTCCAACAGCAGAAGTGGGATGATTCTTCCATTCTAGACTACGACATCGGGATCGAACAGTCTTTCCAAGAGTTTAATCAGCCTTCTGCTGCAACAATTCCTCTAAACCCCAATGACCAAGCTAAAATCTTGGGTCAAGGAGATGTTCCAATGCTTGATGCAATCCGGGCTAATAAAATCCCAGACTGGGATGCGCGGACAATGCTGAACAATCTCTCTTTCCTGGAGGAAAAAATCCATCAGCTCCAGGATTTAGTGCATTTTATTGTTGGAAGGAGAAGTCAAGTTCTGGGACGACCGGATGATCTTGTTGCCCAGCAACAGCAGCTCGTAACGGCTGACATTACTTCAATTATCTCTCAGTTGATCACCACTGCAGGTAGTCTTCTTCCATCCTTGAAGCATGCCGTTTCTGACGCTGCTCCTTCTGTGGGACAGCTTTTGCAGCCTGGAGGGGTCGACCTTTCTCCCGTGCTTGCCATGAATGGCAGTGTGCAGCCACAAAACGATGGTAGAAGCAAAATTCCTGATGAGTCGAATAAGACTGATATAACTGCCCATTATGGGGGTGAGCAGAACAACAACTTCGACGAACATGAACTGAAAGACGAGGAGGATGTTGATGAAGGCGAGCATCTTCCACCTGGTACCTATGAGATCTTGCAATTAGAGAAGGAAGAAATCCTGGCACCTCACACTCACTTCTGCGCGATATGCGGGAAGGGATTCAAGAGGGATGCGAATTTGAGGATGCACATGAGAGGTCATGGCGACGAGTACAAAACCCCCGCAGCACTTGCTAAGCCACACAAGGAATCCGGCTCTGAGCCCATGGTTATCAAGAGGTACTCATGTCCTTATGCTGGCTGCAAGAGGAACAAAGACCACAAGAAATTTCAACCCTTGAAGACTATTCTGTGTGTCAAGAATCACTACAAGAGAACCCACTGTGACAAGAGTTACACTTGCAGCAGATGCCACACGAAGAAATTCTCGGTCATCGCAGATCTCAAGACTCACGAGAAGCATTGTGGCAAGGACAAGTGGCTTTGTTCATGCGGCACAACCTTCTCGAGGAAAGACAAGCTTTTCGGGCATATTGCTCTCTTCCAAGGCCACACTCCAGCCATACCTGTCGACGAGACCAAAGGAAGCGCCGTGCCAGCTGATTATGTGACGGAAATCGAAGCGGGGAACAAGAGTTCTGTGAGCTCTACAAACTTCAATTTTCCCTCCGATTCTCAAGGGGAAAATGCAGCTCCGAATATTGTAGATGTTAAAGGAAACCTTGATGACCCCGCTGCTTATTTCTCACCAATGAACTTTGAGACATGTAACTTTGGGGGGTTTCATGAATTCCCTCGACCACCATTTGAAGATTCAGAGAGTTCATTCTCTTTTCTTCTTTCAGCGTCTTGTAATTACCCCCAGAAAACTGGAGAGGACTCCAATTCTAATAATCTGGAGTAATGTCGTTTGGTTTATATTTTTAGCTCATCAGGGGTCAATATTCATAATATCTGTAACAATTATGGGGTCATCTATCTTGTAATTTCTTTTAATTTAATAAAATATTTTCTTTTCTTATAATCACTTGCCATTTTCTCCATGTTCTCTGTTTCTGGATCTTATTAAACTTTGATAGCACATGGCAGGGAAAAGTCAAAGACTTTAATTAACTTTGATGCGTAGAAGCTCACACTAATTTCATCCTTATTATTATTGAGGTTTTTTTTTCCCCTTCTTATTCTCCCTCTAACGTAACAGACATTTTTCTCTTCCTTCTATATGTGTGCATGTGCATAATATATACATATATATATATATTTATTATTTTATTGCAAAGGAAAATTCTACTGGCATGAGCATATCAGATGATCATACTACTTTGCTTTCACAAAAATTTGTAATTTTCAAAATTACAATGGCGAAACAATTTTCAAATAACTCGATTTCAACCATCTCTTGGTAAAAAGCAAAAAAGAAGAACAATGAGATTATGACACAGTTACTGCCAGTTGCAATATACACAAAATTGATTTAACTGATTGGAGTTCTCTGCCCATAATGAGAATTGTGGAGCAGAATGAGCTTCAATCCCTTTGCACTTTCTCCCTTCAGTGACTTCATGGGAAAACGACTATACTTCTCCCTCAAGACTACATCATCCATGACAGACCAAGTTTGTCCTCTCGGAGAGCTGTCAACCCACAAAAACCTCTCAGAAAACGGATTCATCAGACTCTCGCGGAACTCTTGAACTGTCTCGCAGATCAAACCCTGCGAAAAAGATTATAATGAAATGAGAAACATGCCTAAACTTCCCCAGTGCGCCAACATGTTCAAATTATCATAACATCAATTTGTTCTTTACCTCTGCCATGGCTTTGATCTTCAAAGTGACATCATCACTAAGAAGGACAAGCTGTCCATCACTCATCGTTTTCCTACAGAGAAGAGAACACTCGAGGATGTGGTCTTCTGTTGTTGGCGAAGCAATTTCCATTGAGCTCCGGTGGCTTAAAAATGGCAATGAGCTCGTTGTTGTCCCGTAGAAAATCCCCCCACTACCCTGGCTAAATGGAGACCGAGGGGAAGCGGGAGGCGTAGGAGCGGTCAGCCTTAAATCTTCAGCCGAGCTCTGGACATGAATCCACCAAGGTTTTTCAACCATACACTGTTCAATCCATTCTAACACCAGGCAAGCCTCGGTTTTTCTCCTGAATAGACTGCCTCGCCGCTTCAAGCAATCCAGCTCCCTTATGACTGTTTATAAAGGTAATTCATATTTGTCAAGAATGAAAGTAATTCAGTGAGCAACTAACTAAATAAGGCAATGGAGAATCAGATGTGTTTGTAAATTTCGTTACCCATCCGCGGAATGATTAAACGAGTCCCCCTAAGACCTTGCAAAAGCTGAAGTGATTTCCTTGATCCCTTGTTCAGAAGAGTAGTAGTGTCCGCTACCACGGTCCAGCTCCTCTTAACCTTTCGAATAGGTTTTCTCTGAAAAAGAGCTCAGTTACTGGTTTATACTAAATAAAGCTAGTTATAACAATGGTGATGATCTGTTGAATCAAAATCGTGAAGCTAGCAGTCGGTAAACTTACAGAGAGGGGATGAGTGACGACGTCCAAATTTTGAGTACAATTGACCGATGAACTGCTTTTCGAAGCAGAAAGCGGCCCCAATGTGTCTGATATCGTCTTGCCTACACAGTTTACAACTAGTGATTGAAATGGAACTCTTTCCTGTCTTCTTTTGTTAACCATCAGTTCTCGTTCGAGTCCAACTTGACTCTCAGAGAGAGGTTGTCTTAGAGGCTTGAGTTCTTGTAGAACTCGCAACGTCTGATTTTCTTTCTTCGAAGACGCAATCAAGTTTTCTTCTGGATGCATATTGGGGCTGAAAGTGAGTCCTGGAGAGGATGATCCGCACCATTCAGAATGCTTCATTTCTTCTAGCTTACCTTTCTTCTTTAAGGACTTGAGAAGAAGGGTATTTGGGGTGACATTTTCCTTGTTGAGTCCTGGAGAGGATGATCCGCACCAGTCAGAATGCTTCATTCCTTCTAGCTTACCTTTCTTCTTTAAGGACTTGAGAAGAAGGGTATTTGGGGTGACATTTTCCTTGTTGAGTCCTGGAGAGGATGATCCGCACCATTCAGAATGCTTCATTTCTTCTAGCTTACCTTTCTTCTTTAAGGACTTGAGAAGAAGTGTATTTGGGGTGACATTTTCCTTGTCCGGTGTAAAGATCTCTTCGTCGCTTTTCAAACAAGGGAAAATTTCCTTTGAAATCAATTTACCTTCTATGTTCTCATGATTATGCTGCTCACCTTCAGAACCAGCACTGGCCAACACGCTTTCGATTCTGCTCTTACCTGTTTGAAGCTGATTGAGACTAGCAAGTTTACCCTTCTTTTTCAAGGATTTCACTAAGAGGGTATTTGGGGTGAAATTCTCCTTGTCTGGAGTAAAGATCTCTTCTTCCTCTACATCCAAACAAGAGTTAATTTCCTTTGAAATCAATTCATCACTAGTAGCCTCCTGGTTATGCTTCTCATTTTCGGAATCAGCACTGGCCAGCATGCTTTTGACTCTGCTCTTACCGGTTCGAAGTAGACTGACACTAGCAAGCTTTCCCTTCTTCTGTAAGGACTTCTCTAGAAGCGTGTTTGGGGTGAAATTCTCCTTATCCGGAGTAAAGATCTCTTCTTCCTCCCCATTTAAGCAAGAGAAAACTTCCTTTGAAATTGGTTTGTCTTCAATGTTCTCCTGATTATGCTGTTCATATTCGGAATCGACATCATCCACCATGGTTTCTCCTTTGCTCCTACCCGTTCGAAGCTTAATGACATTAGCAGGTTTACCTCTCCTCGACCAAATGCTTCCAAAGCCTGGTGTGTTTTCTGATCTTATTGGGGATCCCCCTATTGTTTCTAGTTGAGGCAGAGTTGCTATTGTACAGAGAGATGGTGGAGTCTGGTTTTCTCTGTCATCTGAAATTTCTAGGACAGCTTCCTCAGCTAGAAAAGATGAGTTCACAGATTCTTTTATGCAAGGCGTACAATCCTGGATTGAGACATCCTTCTGTTCATGGTCTTCCTGGCATAACTTTTGGTCTTCACTTTCTTCTAGTCTTTCAGAAGCTGGAGGAACTTCATCATAAGATGCTTCAGAATTTTCTTGCTTCCCCTTTTGAGACGATGACTCCAAAGCGTAGAGAGCTTCCGGGTCATCATGCTGATTTTCAGTCTCACGACTCTCACCACCGACTTCTCTAACCAACGAAGGCGACTTATCGGTCTGTCCAAAGTCTTCTGTGAACAAACTTTGGTTCTCAGTTTCTTCAAGGGCTAGAGCAGCATCAAGATCACACTTCTCTTCATTCACAACAGAGATTTCCCACTCTGAACATTCCCTTTCGCATCCAAACTCTGTCACAATAGATGGTTCTAGGCTCTGGTTTTCTTTACAAGATTCTTCACACCCAGTGTCCAAAATAACACCCTCAAGAGGCAAAGAGAAATGTCCTAATTCAGTTCCGAAGGGCCCCTCGTAGCGTCTCGAGATTTCATTCTGTTGATCAACATCTTTCAATGAGATTTCAACACATTTGTCATTATTGTCAAAAAGTGAATCCATCGGATTTTCGGGCATTGGAGGTGCTGATGGGATTTCCTTTTTCACAGTTATTCCCAAACTCTCTTCAGCAAATAAAGAACTCATGCCCTCAACAACCAAATCCAGAGACTGGATCTCTTTATTCTCCATGAACAAGGAGTTATTACCCTATGCAAGACAAATAAAAAGAAAGAATGCTAATCTTAAAAGGAAAAAAAAAAGACATTATAATATATAGGTTGACTTAAATAATTCTCACCTCACATTCTTCTTCTTGTGCTATCATTTCCTTGTTCTCTATGTTTTCCTCTTCTTCAACAGGTTCATTTTCAATTTCCTATTCAATTCCCAAAAAATAACAAACAAAATAAGGCAAAATTCAACTCGAAATTTTCCGGGTATTCCGAGATTTTCTTAAATCAAACCTGGCATGCCTCCGTTGAAACTTCCTCTTCTATCTCTTCTGTCAATGGAGCATCTGATGCCGATACATAATGGCTTTCGAAATCATATGCTTGGCTCAAAGGAATCCAATGAAGCTTGTAAATTCTGCTCGAACCGCCAATCCTAAACGAGTCGCCCTCACGCAGCTCCACTCGCGCCCACGGATCGATCTTCTTCTCCGAAACCCATGTCCCATGTACTGCAAAAATACACCATAAAAAACTACACCCAAAAACAAAGGGAATGAATAGAAAAATGTGGCAATTCTTGAATGCGAAAAAGGGGGTTTTCGGGTTTTCTTACCGGAGGATAAATCGATTACGAAGAGCTTGTGTGAGGAAGGGTTTGAGAGGATTTGGAGATGGGATCTGCTGATGCTGGGGTGAGTCAAGATGATATTGCAATCGGGGTGTCGTCCGACGATCAAGATTTGTTCGCGATCAAGCTGATCGGGATCGCAGTTGTTGACGATGAAGATGTTCTTGAGAATGGCTCCGTTCTTTAGGACTGTCAAGACTGGGATTTTCGGCTCTTCATCGATGAGCTTGTGTGAGTGTTCGCAGACGGTAGCCATGGTTTTTTTTTTTTTTTCCACAGAGAGAACGAGAAAGATTAGCACGAGAACTCTCTGGAATTTCTTCGTAGGGTTATGATATTCTTATGAGTAATATTAGAGAGAGAGAGAGAGAGAGTTGCCGAATTGCTGAACTTCTTTGGTGGGAGTTCGATTTTGAAAAAAGGGTACCGTTGGGTTCTCTCTCCCATAACGGCTAACGTTTTTTTTTTTTTTTTAATTTTTCAATCTTTTTTTTTTTTTTGGAAACGTTATGAAATGATGATTTTGTTTTGTACCTTATCAAAACATACCGAGTACGTTTGGGACGTTTATTTTCTATATTCGTTCATGATTTTAAATCATAATTCATAATTTTTTATAGTGTTTTTTCTCACAAAAAATACACATAAAACGAGATTAGTTCTGAATTATGATTCTGAATACATAAACCAAACGTCTTTAAATTTTAGAACTCAGAATCATAATTTTGATTTAAATTACTATTTATTTATAAAAAGTAAAAAATAAGTTTAATTTGACTCACTAGGTATAAATTATTTTTTTGCTTTCTCTTTCTTCTTTTTCATTTTCATTTTCATTTTAAACTCCTGTAATTTATTCCACCGAAGAGGGAGTCATCTCTAGAGGATCTCTCTCTTCGATAGTTATATTTTTCCCTTTTATCTTCATATATTTTGTAGTTGCAATGAATAAATACGTATCCACTTATATCCAATTCTATACTGATGATGAGTATGGTTCACAAGATCTTTATCTAGTTGTGATTTTTTTGGGTTGTTCTTTTGCAACAAAACTCAGAAAAAATTTAAATTTGAGTTACAATTTTATTCAAGTTTACGTTCTTTTATAAAATTTGAGTTTGAACTTGAGTTTTAATTTGAGTTTGAACTCAAATTTCAGACTAAACTAGGCCCCCGTTCATTTCGCCGATTCTAGTTTTGCTACAGTAAAAAGCTCTAAAAAACGGTCACATCTAACTTTTTTACTACAGTAAAAAGCTCTCACACAAAATTACATCTCAACTTGAATTACAAACTCGAATCAGCGAAGTGAACGGACCCTCGAGTTCAAGTTTTTCCTTCAACTTGGGTTTATAAACTCGAACTCAAGTTAATGAATACTATTTTTTCTATTCTTAAAAATGTCATAATTTTTTCGTTTTAATTCTGATTGAGATGATTTTTTTTCTATGCATTTACAACGAAAAGACGAATAAAATCCCACCCATATACCCTATTAAAATTGTTCATCACTATTGAGTTTTTATTAAAATACTATCTAAATACAAATTTAAGTTTTGACTCATTCAAACACAAACTGTACCCGTTCATTTCGCTGATTCGAGTTTATAATTCAAGTTGATATGTGATTTTATGTGAGAGCTTTTTACTGTAGCAAAAAAGTTAGATGTGACTGTTTCTGATAACTTTTTACTGTAGCAAAACTCAAATTCTAAACTCGAATCGGTGAAGTGAACGGGGCTTCAAAAAGATTATTAATTTAAATCATAACTCAAATGTACACATTCAAACACAAACTCAAGTTACAACTTCAACTCAAATTATAACTTAAACTTAACTCAAGATCATCACTCAAGTCACCCTAACTCAAAAATGCAAAAGAACAACCCCTTATAGATTTTCTAAGGAGACGTTTGGTTTATGGATTAAAATTATAAGATTAGAACCATTTTCGATTTACATGTATTTTTTGTGAGAGAAAATACTGTAACAAACCATAAACCATGATTCGAATCGGAGTACGAATCCCCCAACCAAACAACCCGTAAGTTTTTTTATTTCATTTCTTTTTGTGGGGTCTCCTATTAGATTTGTAGCCTCTAAGTGTTAGGTATGAAAAATTCTAAATGGGGAAAAATCGACGTGGACATCAGCAACAAATTTATCATCTTATCAAGTTTAGATGGTTATGATTCAAGGTTTGAATCCTGATGTGATGTTTTAAATCAGAATTATTCATGATTCTAAAACCACTTCTTATGGTTTTGGGTGGTTCAAACCCCTGATTCTGATTTTGGTTTCAGAACTATGATTTGGACCAAAAATCATGAATCAATTAAAACTAGAATCACCATAGTTTGAACTCTCATACCAAAAGAAGCTATAAGGCTTATTTGGTTCAATAACTCAAACTGTGAAGATTTGAATCTTTTTTGTTAGAACTGTAAAATATGAACATTGGTGATTCAAACTGTGATCCGAACTGTTGTTTGGATATGCAAATAAATTGTAATTTGACTTGGGAAAAAAATCCGAATTATGTTTGGATAAAGTGTTGAAAACTCTCATTAGAGTTTTGTAACAAATCTTATAAAATCTCATTATAAATGACATTTAAAAATATGCAATATATGTGGAGATTTGTTCCTCTCTTCATTATAAACACATTAAAAAAATCATCTCAATCGAAATTAAAATGAAAAAGTTATGACATTTTTAAAATTAAAATTGAAGAGAGATAAAAAAGTAGAATTTGAAACTATTAGACTGTTAATAATAATTCAAATTGTTAGAATTTAGGGAGGAGGCGAATTCTAAATTACAATTCCACTAATGATGTTGAACTGTTGATATAGATGATGTGGCAAATCATATAATTTGAATTCGTTCCAACGGTGAGCATAACCCAGGGGCATCCAAGGGCAGTGAAATGCTAGGTGACGGGTAACCGGTTCTAATTGAATACTTAAAAAATGCAAGTATACCAAATCAAAGAGTAAAAGTAGACCTGAAAATTTGGGCCGGGCCAGACGGGGCGGCCCGAACCCGTTACTGTGGGCCTGGGGCCCGGCCCGAATCCGTACAACCCCGAGCCCGGCCCAGCCCTAGTGTAGGGCCGGGCTGGGCCGTAATTCCAGGCCCGCAAGCGGCCTGGGCCTGGGCTGGCCCGAAAATAGCCCGAAATTTTTTTTTTTGGGTCTTTCGGCCCAAATTTTTTTTTTTTAGGTCTTTTGGCCCAAGGCCAAGCCTGCCCAACGGTAATATTACCGTTGGGTGGGCTGGCTCACTGCCGTGAGGCAGTGAGTCTAATAGCCTTCTTGGTAGAGGGCTGCAGGCTGCAGCCCTCTGCCAAAATTTTTTTTTTTTAATTTTTTAGGCCAAGCCTGCCCAATGGTAATATTACCATTGGGTGGGTTGACTCACTACCGTGAGACAGTGAGTCTAATAGCCTTCTTGGCAGAGGGCTGCAGGTTGCAGCCTTTTGCTAAATTTTTAATTTTTTTAATTTTTTGGGCCAAGGGCCCAAGGCCAAGCCTGCCCAACGGTAATATTACCGTTGGGTGGGCTGACTCACTGCTGTGAGGCAGTGAGTCTAATAGCCTTGGCAGAGGGCTGTAGCCTACAGCCCTCTGCCAAATTTTTTATTATTATTTTTTTATTTTTTGGGACTTTTGGCCCAAGGCCAAGCCTGCCCAACGGTAATATTACCGTTGGGTGGGCTGACTCACTGCCGTGAGGCAGTGAGTAATAGCCTTGGGCCTTGGCAAAGGGCTGCAGTCTGCAGCCCTCTGCCAAATTTTTTTTTTCCTTATGCTTTTTTTTTTCTCCCTTTAAAATTTTTAAATCTTGTCTATAAATACTCCCTCTATTAATCCATTTTTTTCACTCTCTCTATTCTCTTCTCATTCTCTAATTTTTTTCTCAACTCTCAATTCTCACTCATTAATTCTCTCAATTTTGTTATTTCATTTTTGTTTGAAAAAAAAAGTTTGTGATTCTCTAATCTCTACTCTAGTCTCTACTTCAATAGAAAATGGAACCAAATATGTATAGGTATGGTCTTGATGGTGTTGACTACTATGGAGTGGATGATCAAGACATTGAGGAAGCAACAATTCAACGAATGGAGGCGGGTGACCAAGTAGGTGACATGCCACTAAATATCAATATTCAACCGAATCAACCCTTAGAAATGCCGACGGGCTCAAGTGGTTCAACATCATCAACGACAACAAAACATTCGAGACAACGTGCAGAATATTGGAAATACTTCACTACACAAGAGAAAATTGACGCTGGAGGTAAGAAAATAAAATTAGCTACATGTATATATTGTAAAAAAGTTTTGACAGCAAATTCTATGAGTGGAACTCGACACTTAAGAGATCACAGAGTTAAATGCGCTAGACTACATCAAGCCAGGACGGAGCTTACACAAACTCAACTTCAATTAAACCCGGATGGTTCGGTAAGTACTTGGTCCTATAATCCTCAAGTTGCTAGGGAATCTTTATGTCGATTTATTTCTGCTTTAGATTTACCTATTAACCTTAGTGATAACCCACATTATGAAGCGCATATTCAACGTGCATATTGTCCTCAATTTCAAAAAATTTCTAGAACTACTACTAGGAGTAATATGATTACATACTATGAGAAAATGCGTCTTGCATTAATAGCTGAAATAGGTGTATTAAAATTTTCAATTGCATTAACCTCTGATATTTTGAGTGGTAGGGCGAATCAAGATTATTTGAGCGTAGTTGCACATTATTTAGACTCTAAATGGAATATGCAAAAAAGAATTATTGATTTTAGACTTATTGATTGTTCACATAATGCTGACAATATTGTTGACAGACTTGTTAGTGTTATTCAAGATTTTGGTATACGAGACCGTATTATCTCTATCACCTTAGATAATGCTACAGCTAATGCAAGGGCGATATCAATGTTGGAGGGACTTATAAACTC